TAGGACAGACTAGAACTGCTGCATAGGATTTCCAAGGCTGTAAATCTTCATGGAAGCAGACTGTGACATCATACAGAGTGGCTAGCGAGTTTGAACCACCAGCCTTTTGGTTAGCAGCTGAGCACTTTAAGCCATTGTTGTTATGTGCCCTTGAGTCAGATCCAACTCATAGCGACCCCTCCTTGGGTTTCCAAGGCAGTATCACTACGGAAGTAGATTGCCCAACCTTCCTTCCCAGGAGTGACTGGTGAGTTTGAACCACCAGCCCTCTGATTAGCAGTCAAGTGCATTAGGCACTGCACTACTAGGGGAATGGAAATCAAAACTACTGAGATACCACCTCACTCCTATTAGAATGACAATGATTAAAAAACAAAAACAAAAAAAAAAAAAACAAAGAAAAAAGCAGGAGTTGGAGACGTTATGGAGAAACAAAGCCTCATTTATTGCTGATGGGAATGTAAAAATGTACACCAAATATGTAAAACAGTTTGATGGTACCTCAAAAAGTTGAACATAAAACCTTATATGATGCAGCTATCCTACTCCTAGGTATATATCCAGAAGAAGTGAAGGCAGAAATGCAAACAGAAAACCTGTGCATCGATGTGCATTGCAGCACTTTTCATAATATCCAAAATGTAGAAACACCTGATATGTCCATTAACAGATAAATGGATAAATAAACTGTAGTATATACATACAGTGGGATATTACTTAGCCATAAAGAGAAGTGAAGTCCTGATACATGTCACTTAAACATTATGATGAACATTAAAAACATTATATTATGCTGTCCCAAAAGGACAAATACTGTATGATCTCATTTTTATGAAATAAGCAAATATATAGAAACCATAGATTATTAGTGGTTACCAGGGGACATCACAAGGGAGGAAGAAAGGGACAACTTTGGCTTAGGGTCATGGAGGCTATGTTAATGGTGGTGGAATGATTTGGAAAAGGATATGGAGAATGTTGCACAGCATGAAGAATGTAATCAATGCTACCAAATTATACATGTAGAAATTGTTTAGACAGCAAATGTTATATACATTTCCACCACAATGAAATATATTAAAAAGGTTCTTGATTTGTGTTCTCTACTGTCTCCCCTTCTCTATTCTCACTACTGCCACATCTAGAAATTACTTTTCACCTCATTACTTTCTTGCTTAAAACCTTTTGAAGGTGTCCTGTTTCTTAAAAGGTAAGCTTCAGCTACTTCTCTCCATTTGGTAGTGTTCTGGTGGTGTAATGGTTAAAGCATTTGGTTGCTAACCAAAAAGTCAAACCCATCAGCCCCTCTGTGGAAGAAAGATGAGGCAGTCCACTTCCTTAAAGATTTACAGTCTTGGTAGAAGGGACATTGTTCAACATAATAAAGGGCATCTATGCAAAACCAACAGCCAACATTATTCTCAATGGAGAGAGACTGAAACCATTCCTCTTGAGAACAGGAACAAGACAAGGATGCCCACTATCACCACTTCTATTCAACATTGTACTGGAAGTCCTAGCCAGGGCCATAAGGCAAGAAAGGGAAATCAAAGGTATCCAAATTGGTAAGGAGGAAGTCAAACTATCCCTATTTGCTGATGATATGATCCTATATCTAGAAAACCCCAAGAGATTCAGTCAAAAATCTACTGAAACTAATTGAGAGATTTAGCATCATGGCAGGATATAAGGTCAATGTCCAAAAATCAGTTGGATTCCTCTACACTAGCAAAGAGATTGTTGAGAAAGAAATAAGGAAATCAATACCGTTTACAATAGCTACAAAAAAACTAAAATACTTGTGAACAAATCTTTCCAGGGACACAAAAGACCTGTACAAAGAAAACTATAAAAAACTACTTTAATAAACCATAAGAGAGCTACATAAATGGAAGAACATCCCATGCTCATGGATAGGAAGATTGAACATTGTGAAAATGTCAATTCTACCCAAAGCAATCTATACAGTCAATGAAATCCCAATCCAGATCTCATCAACATTCTTTAGGGATATGGAAAAACCAATCACCAACTTTATATGGAAAGGAAAGAGACCTCAGATAAGCAAAGCACTATTGAAGAAGAATAAAGTAGGAGGTCTCACACTGCCAGATCTCAGAACCTACTATACAGCCACAGTAGTCAAAACTGCCTGGTATTGGTATAATGACAGATACATGGACCAATGGAATAGAATTGAGAACCCAGAAATAGATCCATTGACCAAGGTCAGCTGATCTTTGATAAAGGCCCAAAATCCATTAAATGGGGAAGAGAATGTTTGTTTAATAAATGGTGCTGGCAAAACTGGATATCCACTTGCAGAAAAATGAAACAAGATCTGTACCTCACACCATACACAAAAATGAACTCCAGATGGATCAAAGACTTAAATGTGAAACCTAAAACTATAGAGTT